CCAAAAAGGCCCTGGGAACGAGGTTATCCCTTCCTACCTTCTACCAACTCTTTCTCTCTCTATCTCCCTCTCTCCTTCCCTCGACCCTCACTCTTTCTTCCTACTCTCCTTACTCCCGGCTACTCTCCCAACCTCTCTCTTTATCCTCCTCCCCTTCCCTCTTTCCTTCCCACACACCCTCTCCCCATCACTCCCTTCAGCTCCCTCCTCACTCTTCTCGTTCCTTCTCTCTTTACTACCCACAACCCTTATACTCTCCCTTTTCATTTCCCATCTTTCCCTCCCTCCACCCACCGTCACCCCCTTCTACCTGCCCCTTCTATCTCTCCTTACCTATATCCTCAGTCTTCCCCTTCCCTTCTTGCTGCCCACTGGTCCTCCTTCCCTCCCTCGTTCTTTGTTCTCCTTCCTTCCATTCCCCCACTTGCTATCTTCCAACCACCCTTCTCTCTCTCTCCCCCCTACATTCTCCCTCGTCTCTTTCCTTCCGTTCTTAACATAACATAACAACTTGATTTAAGTTTCAATGTCTTTAGCTATAATCTAAGCTAATGCGGTACATTCAATAAACTAAAGTATAAACCTAAATTCATCCAGGAGCCCATTATCCGGAGCTTCCATCTCAGTTGTACCCTTGAGTCAACCCTGTCCCGTATCTTTTTATTTTTAGAACTGAGATATTTGCGGGGGTTCTTTAATCTTTCCGCGCCTTCCTCCATTATTGAAATAATTTCGTGCGACCTGCAAGTGACACAATAGAGACGTAACACAATAGAAACGACAGCTCTCTTATGATTGGCTATTATAAAAATACCCGCGGAAACCGCCCTGGGAGGTGCTTCTAAAAATAGAAAGATATGGGACAGGGTTGGCTCAGAGAGTTATTATGGAAGTTGGAAGCTCCGGGTAATGGGCTCTTGATTAATCTTAATCTCTTTATCACTCCCTTAATCTGTTGTATTGAGTTTACCACGATGAGTCAATGTTAAGAAGAGAGCGGTTTCAACTATAAAAAACGTTTCTTAAACAATCCGAATGCACTGATATGCCATTTCTCTTCTTTTAGCCTCAGAATAACAAAATAGTGTTCCAATGTAAACATGGTTTCCAACCAAACTACGTCGCGGATGCTAACGGCCACGTTCATTTGGTGAGCCATTCAGAGAGTCCGAACCGCGCCGAACAAAACACTCAATGTACTGACGGGCTGAGAACGTGCTGCGTTGCCTGTTACCAGCCGAAAGACACGAAAACTGATCTCAGTGTTGTAACCAACAAGTGCTGTCGGTATATGTTTCCTATATCATTTGCTATTTTCAACTTAGTGTACTGGTTAGCTTTTAGTACCTGAAAATAAAATCACTTTTGGGGAAAGTGGAGAACTTGAGGTCAACTTAAGGTCGCTGAGATTTTTGCGTAGGAAGCAGAAAATCATGCAACGTTTGTGGAGCTTTAGACATGACTAGGAGAGGAAAGGGAATCTGTACTATAAAAAGTACTTTTACACATGTAGTTTTCGAAAACTATTTTCAACTCCTGACGCATGAACTATTCAATCTATACTGTTAAGTATACAGTTCATGATTTTCAGTTGAAAGACGGTACGGAGTGTAATGGAGGATATATGCATTATGTAAACTGGTTTAGGATCCTCCTTTTACTTATGTCCATTACTCGATCTGTTTACCACTTCTTAGCAACAGAACAAGTTAAGTTCTTTTAAGAGATTGCGCTTGCACTCAGAAGTAGAAATTGTTGGTAGCCTTGCCCTTAGGATGGAGCATGAGCGAATATCGGTCGTGGAAGGACTGTGACAGAAATCACATGGTTCATTTGGTGTCGCCACTTTCGAAATTTCTTCACCTAAGAATAAAATCGTGGCTATCCACTGCCCGCCACAGAGGCGAACGTCGTCGAAATGCTATATTTTCGATGATCAAAAACACCATTTCACCGTACATAGTGGATAGCTGCATCATAAGAATAACGATAATTGGTGACATCAAGACTACTTATAAGAAGGTTTAGATATTTATTCACTTTTCCTTGCTTGTTGCAGTATTCACAACGCTTATGTACAACGCTAGTGTTATTAATCAAAAAGGCTTTGGTAAGGAGTTAAGGTTTTTTTTAATTCATGGAAATTAGGTGAAGGTTAGCCAGTTGTAATGTCAATAACAATCAGGATTGCATTGCTTTGCTTTACTTCGCTCTATGATTGGTCCAGAAAACTTTCTCGACCAATCAGAAGTAAATTTTAAACCAATCACGTTTCGGTCGCCTGCGTTTTCCCGCGCGTTAGGTAGTTTGCTTATTTTTAACTTGAGTTCTTAATGGGTTTCAAAGGTATATTGGCGCCTTAAGCAGTTTGGTTAATTGTTTAAGGGTACTTTCCTTTCTTCTGATCAGCCATTGCAATTATTTATGTTTTGGTTTTAGGACGCTCAATCGAAAAGCGCTGTATAGCCGAAAGTTGAAGTGACATACATTTACTCAAAATAACCTAGTGATATTACACATTATAACCCATCCATTAATTTTGGCGCGATTTTATTGGTTACTTTACGTCACGTGGTGCAAAATCACGGGACAGTTATCACGTAATAACCCCCTTCCGCGTCGATATTTGTCCTCCAATTTTTTCCGTGAAAAAGAAACAGTCAACACAAGAGTTTCAACTTTTCCGTTCTCCTATTTACATAGAAAGAAACCAAACTCGTTTTTCTTTTTTGCTTGCTTGCGTCAATCACGCGCATTCGCCAGATCACCACTGGCTTTTTTACTGTGTTTACGCGCAGTTGCGATGTAAAAATTAATGGAAGGGCTATGAAATAAATAAATAAACCCCGTTCTGGCTTGCTGGTATGTCGGCTGATAATGTCCGCGGCTGAGAGATTGTCCTCAAAATTTCATATTTGCCCTTGAAGCTTCGCTTCTCGGCCAAATATTCATTTTTCGAACAATCTCTCAGCCGCGGACATTATCAGCCGACATACCAGCCGCCTGAAGGGGTTTATTTACTAATTATTATCCAACTGTGCTTCGTAGAGTACAAATAATGCACGAGACGAGTACGAATATCACGCGATATTTGTACTCCAGAAATATCTGCGAAATTCGCCCGCACTGAAATAACAATTTGGCGTGTTTGATAATGAATCTCTTATTAGACGTTTTGTTGTGTAGTATCGTTGAGTATACTTACTCGTTGTTTGTATTTTGACTCGCCCTACGGCTCGTCAAAATACGGCACAACTCGTAAAAATACTCAGCGATACTACACAATAAAACGTCGACTAATAACATATAGTTATTATCCAACTACACTCCGTAGAGTACATGTTCGAGTACAAATAACACCATAGACAAGTACAAATATCACGCGGTATTCGTACTCCAGAGTACCGGTTAGACAAGTTTTCTCGCATCGCGCAAGCGAAGAATTACATTGAAGGTACGAATAAAAAATGGCGGACAATTTGAATCATATTTGAATTTTTAACGACGAAGAGTCGGAATGGTTGGCAAATATAGATCCAAGTTTATTAGATGAAACGAATGAAGAAAAACAGCCATACAACCAGGTAATTTCTTCATTTATTGAAGAAAATAGAAACAGCAACACGACAACGCACCCATTCCGTTCCGCTTCGCATACTTCTGTCACACACTCCTCGTATTTTGACTCGCCCTACCGGCTCGTCAAAATACTGCACAACTCGTAAAAGTACTCAGCGATAGGCAAAAAAACGTCTAATAAGATATAGTACTGATAAGGAAGTTCAGCTTTGATACAAATCGACATCATCAACAGTTTCGATAAGGATCATTTTACTACGGGAAGATTACTGCATTTTTGCACTATTTACCCTTACCTTGTACATCACTGTGCATAGCTGGTACAATAGAGGCACAGCTTTTAGAAATAATTTCGAATATTTGATAATTGTATAATTGTAATAAGAAATTAAAAACTAAACCTATAAATACTCGTCTTACGAGAAGCACAAGGAATCGATCAATAATTGTCACTTGTGAAGGGGGGAGGGTGGAAAGGAGGTCGGAGGACTTCAGTTGAGTCACAGAAAAATTTACCTAACTCTCCCCCCTCCCAAGGCTCTGCAATGTTCTTATGATCCTCGATCCCTCATCGGTAGGTAATCGGCAGTTAATTTTCTAGAGTCTCATGTTTCTCCTTTGTTGGAAACTCCAGATACCCCTTCGTTCCTCTTGAAAACAATCAGTGTTACCCCCCCTTAAAAAAAATTATCCGCTCCCTCCCCCCTTTCAGGCTGTAAATAATGACTAGTGCGTTATAGTCATGTTTAAGGACAAGTCTGCCCCGATAAATTAAAACTTAAAACCTGACCGGGAGGCAATTACAAGAACATTAGCTCAGATAACTACAGACTTCCCAAAAATGATGATTTCATTTTGGTAGATTCTTTATTTAAAAACTTCAGAAAAAAATGATAATGAGAAGAGCAACATGGGAGGAACTAAAAACGAACAAGAGGAAATTTTTCGATAAAAGAAAATTTGATAATAGAATGGGCTCCGACGAATTCGAATTCGAATTCGCTCCGACGAAGGGCTAACGCTCGAAACGTCAGCTTATGTGATCGTTACGGTGGCCAATTTACCACTTCAACTTTGTTGATATATCCAAATGAAAACTTTGATTTACGACACTATCAGATTTTCAAGATATCAACTAACCACTCCTCCGGTGTACGTATGAATGGAGCAGGACTTATGTAACACAGATGCATGGCCTTACCGTTGCAACAAGAGGAGTGATGTACTTCCAATTCCAGCAGATGACGAAGTAGTTGCTGGGTTTCCTCTCATCATGTCTTTGATATTTTCAGAGAGTTTATCAACTCTTGTAAAAAGAAGAAAAAAGTGAACAAGTTTAGCGTCCCGGGTACATTTATATATAGCACTGATGCTCTAATAAGAATACTCACCATATCCCCAACTGACGGCAACAGCTTCGAGAGCAACCACACAAATCAAAGAAAAGCCTCCACTTTGGCTATCAAATATGTTCAGGACATAGATTCCTCCCTAATAGAAAGCAAGAAGAAAAAAAAAGAGGAATGATACGAACTCTTCAAAGATGAACTCTGCCAAATAATTTCCTGTATCGGCTCTGTGAAATCAATCTTTGAATAAACACACTATTTGATTTAAATTATTTTCTTCCAATAAAGGTGTGGTTGTTATTTCTAAGCGTGTGTCCCAAGATGCATAGAGCCCATTTATCTTAACTTACCTTAGTGACGCAATAGAGCCCGATTAGATAGGAAATTAGACAAAGCATGAACAGGCATCTTCCTTTATAGGGACGAAGTTTAGGAATTGTGTCCATCACAGCCGCGATGGTCGTCTCTGTAAACACAAACTAAGTATAGAAAACGTTGATAAGATGTGGTTCTAGTGTTGCTGGTTTTAACTGTCAATAAGTCAGTTACCTAGTCAGTCAGTGGGTCAGAGTGTCAGTGAGTTAGGCAGTTTTCCAAACAACGGGTCCGTGAATAAGAGCATCAGTGGGCCAGTGAGTCAGACACTTTGTCAATCAGTCACTAATTTGGTCAGTCCGCGAGACAGATAAATTATCAATCAGTCAGTCAGTAAGTCACTAAGACACCAGTTCAGTCAGATCCCAGATCTCTGTGTATAATAATTAGATCAAATGCACTTATATACGAGGGAGGGTATAATTTGTCTAACCTGACTCCCAAGTCCAATAGTGAAGAGCATAAAGAACATCACAGCCCAAACAGGTGCAGCTGGCATTTGAGCGATCCCCTCAGGATAAGCCACAAAGCCAAGACCATGTCCTACAATTTGATGAAAACAAACTTCTTTCATTTTCAATATCAGAATAAAGGCTATGAGACCCTTAAAAAAATATCCCCTCCCCTCCATCCTTAATCAAGGCCGAGACTGACTTCACCCTGAGTTGTAA